AGTACCTCGAAAATGATACCCATATTGCATTTATTTGAAAACTCGTGCCCGCCATCTTGGATTTAGAAATGAGTGCCATATTCGTAATGAGCATCCCCAAATTCCTCGAAAAGGATACCCATATAGCATATTTTGAAAAATCGTGTCCGCCATCTTGGATTTACAAATAAGTGCTATATTCGTTTTTCATCGACAAAACCGAGCATATCTGTAGGCACCTGATCGACAATGTCGGGCAAATTTATCTTTATCTTTATTATTTGTATATTTGTGTGCGTGCCGACGAGCGTAGTTACAAGTTGCTTACGCCTACATGAATTTGGTTTTTGCCTCACTTGTGACAGTTCGTTTGATATGAAACTATCATTCTATGCGTTATTATTCTAAGGTGCTACAGTTGTTTTGTGCTTGTACCTTGACAAAGGGGATTGCCTATCGATGACGCCTCCAGTCCTATATGCTCTAAGATCACTACAAACAATCTCAAATAATACCTAACAATGTTTTTAATTTTTTCTTATATTTATATTTTATTTTTTCCGAGAAACCAAAGTGGCTTTGTTAAATTCAGCGATTACACTATTATTTAAAAAGAAAATAGCTTGAGGACGTAACTGTATTCAGGACGTTGACAGAGGGGATTGCCTATCGATGACGCCTCCAGTCCTATAAGTTCTAAGATTTCTTGTTAACGGAAAAATTATTACGATAAACAGAAAATTGAAAAATTAAATAAGACAACGATGATATGAAACACCACCATAGACAATATTACATTTTTTTAATAACGCACACACTCAACATACCCCCGCACTAGGAAAACCCTGTGTCGCGGGTGCCATGGACACACATATAGACAACCACAAATTACACCCAAACTCACGAGAGAAATAAATGTAGGTCATACAAAAATTTCTCCCGGCCCGGGAATCGAACCTGGGACCTCTGCGTGGCAGTCCGGCATGGTAACCGTTCTGCCACAGAGGCAGTTTAAAAAGTATGACTATCATCTTTGCACTCCAAATGAGGAATTTTTGTACGATTTTCGAGGTTTTGCGCGAGATAATATTGACACGGCCATAACGTACAAAGCGAAAATAACACGCTAAGTATGCGGAACTTCACGTACTGGGAACACGTGGTACGCTCATTAAGCACTTCTACTGTTTTTACTGTTCTGTGACGAAGACGATGAATCAATTTCACTACCACGTAGTATAAATGTATTCAAGTCGATTTACAAAACTATTTTAAACCATCGCGTAATGTATTAATCCAATTACAACCTCTTTCAACTATCTACTGTTTCTTTTGCTAGCTCGATTTCAGTAAAACAAAAATACCAACGGTTTAAATTCTATTGCATTTTGGACTAGTTTACAACATGATCTTACAATAAAACAATATAAACAGATTAATTACAATAGTTTATCAAAACAGGCAGTCGAAATCATGCAGAGCCAGACTCAGGTTTGGCCGAAGGTGCTCCCACTGGGAGGTCGGTTTCGGGATTTGCCGCTTTTTCCAAGTTCCTTAAGCTGTTCTCGAATTCAATGGGATCTATGAACTTTTTTCGCGGGAACGGCGGTGGCCCCAATATTGCTTTGACTTCGTCGAAGTTCAGGGTCTCCTTTCTCAACAATTCTTCCGCTAGCTGAAACAAGCAATAAACCATAGGGGTGTTAGGTATATGATACTGTTGCAGTCTCATGTCAGACTCGCATTTGTGAACAGATTTTGAAGATTCCTTTTTTGTTGAAAAGAGATACATTAGTATTGGTTCCATTTAAATTTGAGAAAATATTCCACCTCTAAGGGTGGCGAATTAAGGGATGATTATGATTCCGGTAACTGATTTCGATAAAGCTTGTCAAATAGATGTAATTCCACGGACTTCTAGATTTTTTTTTATAAAAAAGTTATTACTAACCGTTTTCAATAGGTCCCTATTTTGTTTGAGAATTTCTTCGGTTCTGTAATAGGCTTTGGCGATAAGTTTCCTTGCCTCCAGGTCCATGAGGTTCTTTAGAGTCTTGCTGAAAGGACTCTTGCCGCGCTCCTTCATGTCAGGGAATGAAACCAGACCCACTACTGGTGACATTCCATATACTCTTATCTGTAAAGCAGACATTATTAAATAAGCCTTTACATTAACAGTCTCTGCCTACCCAAGCGGAGGATAGTCGTAATTGTGCGTATGTATGTTTACATGAAACGAGTGTACCAATTTTTGGTATAAATTTAAATTAAAAAGTTCATTTTCGAGATCTTAATATTAACTGTCCAGCGCATTGACTTACAATTATATGGACGTCTGGTCCGCGCTAAAAAGTGTCCGAACTTATAGGGCGTTAAAATCGTATACAGAGCGTCATTCACGCTTTACTCTTCGTTTGTTCGACTGACAGCGAAACAAGCAAAATTAGACAGTACTGCGATGACATTACAATGGCAAATATGGCTAATGCCACGTACGTTTTTTTTAAAAATGTATTTAATCAATTTCCGATAATGCTAATTAAAACCTTATTGTTGAGACTGCGATTTGCAAAGACATATTTTTTTTACTACTTGTTCGTTATTCTCAAGTTTAGTTTCGTTTTGAGCTTCACACATGTGTCTACGTTTCCAGGCTTGCGTGTGCGTTGAAAATGAAAGAAAAACGCTTGCATACCTGAGCGTAGGCGATTTTGGTGACTTTTTCTAGATCATTTCGTGCACCGCTTGTTATTGAGTTGAACGTAATCGCCTCCGCCGCTCTGCCCCCGAGCGCCATACACATCCGATCAAATAACTGAAAATTGATAACAACTTTAGCTTCTAACACAAGTACATTACAATCAGTATTCTTATTTTACAATTTGCAGTATCTTCATATTATGAATCGACTCCTGCTACCTATGGCCAGTCAATGAGAATAATGTTAAAATCTCTTTTAACATTTTTATTTATAATTCGACTGGACGAACAAGTCGTGCGCCCGATAGTAAGCTGCACGCCTATCCATGACAGTTGCAGTGCCACTCAGAGCTTTATATCTCAAAGATCTAATTGGCACTGCCTCTACGCCCGTCACCCTGAGACATAAGTTGACAAGTCCCATGTGGCTGTAATTTCACCAGTACCCTTAGCCTCCAAAACCGGAACACCGTAATGCTGATATTGGCAGTACTTCCCTGGAACCTTTTCACAAAGAGCTCTACTGCTAGTAAATTATTTATTTAATTAGGTTAATTTTTTCCCATCATATAGTGTAAATACTATGACAACCGTATGCAAAAGGTTATATTAAAAAATATTTGGTTAGTCGACTTAATAAAACCACCACTGTGTCTCGTCTACCACCACCGTTCCCCACCCAGACTCCGTCGAGCTCCACTGCAGGTGGCGCCTCTGTTTTGCAGTTTTACATCCGTGTTCATGACCGTTTCCGACATATATATGTGTTGGGGCTAATTATCACTTCAAACGTAATTTATTATATAAAAGATTTACTAGGCTATTTACTAGGTTTCATTGTTTACAAATGTCACGTCAGTTTGACAGCTCAATTAGGGTACGGTCAGAGAGAGGGGGCGCTGGTGTAGTTGAATCGGTTGAGTCAAATCAGTCAGCTGAGGAGATCCTATGACATGATGGTCGTTGGCCGGGTTGACAAGGGTGAAAGTTGCTTGGAAATTGAAGACGTGCACGGCCTCGCTCTCTCTGAACTTGCCGCGTGATATTTAGAATCCGTTTGAACCTCATCCATCTTTTGTACTTTCGAACTACCGCCGCTTACCACCAGCTGCCTTGTTCGTCCCGTCTCTTAGTATTATAAATAAATATTTATAACATACACATACACAACAGCTAATGATGTGACTATGCATAGTTAGTAATAACTGGTTCATGAATACTGTGAAAAGTGTATAAAACAACTAATTGCATTCAACGAAAGTTGTTATTTCATCGCCGGCTGAACTAACTGATAACGAAGAGTGAATAAGCCAATTATCAAGTGATTCCTGTCGAAATCAGCGTCGAGGGTGTATCTGCCTTGACTTCGACATGTATAATGTTAATGCACTACGCCATCGACTGGCCATTGAAGAGCAGAATACCAAAAAATTGCAATGGCAGTTCTGCCGTCCACTAACTAAATGGTCAAATATCTAAAAAATATTTTTGTCAAGTTAATGGACAGCAGAATTGCTCGTAACTTCTCGACACACAACTGAGATGATTTAAAATTAATAGAGTTGGGGCCCTGCTCTCTGCCTTTAGTAATAAAATGCTACAAGTTGAAAGATTACCTCCTCTTTGGAGTACAATTTTTGATCCGACGACGTGTATTGTGCAAATCCCAAAGACATATTTGTTCTTGGCACTATAGTCACTTTTAGTAAAGCGTCTGTGTGTTCCAGCATCCATCCCACTAGAGCGTGGCCGGACTCGTGGTACGCTACTATCTTTTTCTCAGCTGGCGACATCGCGTGACTCTTCTTTTCAGTGCCACCTAAAGATAATTATATAATTAAAATGTACTCACGTGTTTTGGCGGCCCCATTTATCAGAGATATGTCTGTCTTTTTTGAAAACGGAGTAAAATGACATTTGCAGGGTTGCCTGTTTTCATAAAATTTTAAATAGTCGTGTAGTTGTTGTCGACAGTTTTATCGATAGATTGTGAGAGAAGGTAAAATGTTGCCGACAATATCGATAAGATGTTCTAATGATTACTTATTGCCTTCTTCATTCTTATTTTGACAGTTGGCCTTCTAGTATCGAAATAAATTTTAATGACTCTTCTTTGTATTTTTTTATAGACTAAATGCATTGCACAAGAACTTACAAAAAATGACAATTCAAATGAACCGTGGCAAGCAGTTGGACAAGTAATAGGCCGATGATGCATCAAATGAAACAAGTTTTTTTTTTATCTGCAACACAGGTTCTTCCTAGTGCAGACTCCAGCTCTCTCAAAGGTATGTAACTTGTAAACTTTCTAAATGTACCTAAGTTGTAAACTTTGAAGAGAGAAATAAACATTTTTGTATTTGTAAACATTTTTGTATTTTTTTTTGTATTTGTAAGTTCAGCCATTGCATAAGCGTGACAAACATTCACTCGATAATCGATAGAATATTTATCGACTGGCATCACTAGCTGCTCGCCATCGGGCAACACTTTGGCGCAATGAACTGTCATTTTACTCCATCTCCAAAAAAGATAAGACTATAGAGAGTAGAGATGACAAATCGACAGCTAGTAATATTACTATGAATAATGATCAGTACAGAGTACTAAAAAAACCGACCTCAAAAGTACGTGGAATTACGTCTGTTTGCTAAGTTTTATTGAAATATCCCCTAGTTCGTCACTATACAGGACTTGACACTGGAGATAATAAAAATCGGTTCTCACTACTCAAAGTCTATTGAGAGAAAAACGCCTTGAATTGGAGAAATAGCAAAATCAACCGTTAAAGTAATTGCTCCTAAACTAAAGTTAGGCGCTATTTATAAAAATGAAACTTCATGCGTGAACAGCCACCCTTCCGAGGTGGATGATTTTCTTCAAAATGAAATGGGTCCACTACCGTGAAGGTACCGTCTTTCCAACAATCGGTTCACAAATACCGGAGTTATCGCGTAACATACATACAAAAAAAACATACAGACGAATTGAGAAACTCCTCCTTTTTTGAAGTCGGTTAAAAATAATGTCACTATGTTTGTTGTATAGTGATGTATTTGACTCGGTTCGCAATAAACTCACAATACAGAATGAGTCAAAACGGAACTTAAAATTATGGCTTTTGGTCTGTAATATTTCTGATTTTTTTTTTACCATTGACTCTACCACGAGATTAATAATAATAATAATATATTTATGAATTGGTGTTCCATCTTGTGACCGCTTGTGAGGCGCTTTATTTAGCGAGAGCTGCCACAGTAAACTCGTGGTAGAGACACAAATCTTGACTATTTAAAATTCATTCTCCAAATCATTGATTGAAAATACACGTAATCCGTCCAAGCATTTATTTTACTTTTTGACATCTATTACTGATGTCATAACGCGTTACCGAGTCGATTTCTTATAACAATCGATTTTATTTACGAAAAAGTTTTAATCGATTTAACATATTGACATTTCAACATTATGTTAAGTATTATGAAATGGACTAACGTGCGACCTCAGCGTAACAGCAAGCCATAGCCATAGAATTTATTATAATTATTTCAAAATTAATTAGTTTTTTTTATACATGACAGGTCTCCCTCCGTTCCACCTAATGTAAAATGGAAATTGGAATCCAAACTTGAAGGAACCAAGTGCAGTGTTGCTATACTCACTGCCCTAGAGATATAAGATGCCTGGAAGGGTGTTCCATTTCTCTACTGTGCGACTGAGGAAGGTGCCACCTAATCTTTTAATTCGCTATGGAATACGACTAGTTGTAAAACGGTTTACTATCGTCTTCCTTAGATGTCAAATTGGGCCTCTTACATTGTGACGTCTTTAGTGGAAGACTTTTTGTTGTGGCCACCTTTTGGGTAGCTGAGTTTGATGCACGACTGGGGTGTTAAACTTACCCACGACTCTTTCAACGGCGTATTCCAAGTCGGCCGCAGTGACAATGCTCTTTTTGTGCCTGGCCGCGTGCAACGCTGCCTCGTTGCACACGTTCGCTATGTCGGCGCCGCTGAAGCCGGGCGTTAAATACGCCATCCTGCATGTGAAGTACATTTATATTATAACAATATATAAATACAATGTTAAAACAACGTTTCATTGATTAATAACTATTATTAGGTTCCTTAAGCCCTTGTTAAACTTGTTTGACTTTGTAAAATGGGGTAAAAGTCTTTCTTCGATAACAATATTTTTGTAAGCCTTCTAAGAATAAAAATGCATTCAAATTGAATTATGTGTCCGGTAGTGCATGTTCGGTAATGATAATAATGGATGTTTTAAAATTAACAAGGTACCGTATTGTTAACACAATATAAAAACGGAACACACATTTGATTGCTACATTTTGCGCCATCTATTGTCGAGTAGCCGAACTAAAAATTACATGAGAAATACCCGCTAGCGCAAAATATCTTTAAAACTCAAGAAACTCGCATAAACAACTAATATTTCATGCGTGCCATAGTTTTTGTACCTTTTATGACGTCACAAGTGCTGTTGATGGGACACCCCCTTAGAGCTAAAGCGATTGATCGCATCGAAGACGCTTTCGTAACACGCATTAAGAATAATGCCTTTTCAAGTATTTATTGAATATAAGAAGCCGTAAAATATAATAGTTATGCCTTTCTTAAAACAAATAAAAATGTTGATTCGTTCAAAAATTAAAGGTTTGTAGTTCAATTTTCCATCGACTTCAATGTTTAGTGTATATTAAAAATATTGTTCTTGCATCAAAATCAGCTTATTATACATTCGTCTAATGTGCCTAATGAAAACGCTCGGTAATATATTATTCTGTTGGTCATTGATCAAATATATCAACGGCAAGCCGATTGAAAATTTTACTGCTGTAAAAAAACAACAAAACGTTGTAGAAGTTTTTTGAAGGCACCGAGCTTCTGGCGCTAATTGATTTATAGCATTCTATGCGTTCCATGTAAGTGTGAGTGTGGCATATGTTTTTAAAGCCGTGTGTAAGCCCAAGCGACACAATCTCCACGCCGAAGGACAGGGGGGAATTTAGGTATTTCCTTCGTATTATTAAAACAAATACACATTTTGAAAATAATAATTTTGATAATTTTGAAAAGGCGTAGTTTCGTTATTGTTCAAAAACTGATTGACCTTCCGTGAAGGGTTTATTTAGTTATTTTCTTTATCGTACAACAACAGACTACAAATAATACTTGGAACTACTACATATGTAACACTAAACATATCTAATATCCAATTATAATTGTACTCACCATTCGCATTAAGACGATATATAATTATAAAAGGAAAGACGTACAAAATACGTTTTTAGAGATAACCTCGGATTTTTTTCCTATGGAGGAAACAATAAGTAATCGTGTTTCTAAACGAGTGAACATTAATTTCATAACTAAAGCTTTACTAATAACGATACAGCAAGGGATCTAATGAAAGCAATTACGTAGCGCTGCCTCGGCGCAGTCTAACTGTGGAAGGAAATGGCCCAAGGGGTGTGATTTACGATGCATGATGCGAATGAAGCTTGATAATTGACATTGTCTTTTGAGACGTGTACTACTTATTTGACAGTAAATGTTGAAAACAGGGGATGTTTTCGACCGATGTTTAACCACACCCCGGACACTCCATACAACAGTCGAAAATTATTTACCTACTACTACTACATACAGCAAGGCGCTATCTGCACACCCGCGAATGTGTGCGTGAGGTGGCAGGGTTACCCATCACTTTCTCGTTATTACGTTACGTGGTCAGAGCGGCAACATAGCGAAAATTCTAACGCGAAAATGTTATCTATAATTCTATTATAGAATCCTAATAATTATATATGTTCATTACGTATTTATATCGATATAATATTATATTTTTTATTAATTCACTAACTAGAATAATATTGAAGATTTACTTAAAAAATATAAAATGTTATATTTTGGACAGCTAGCTTTAAATAAGGTAACCAAAGTATTTGAAATTGCGTGTCCAACTTTATCATTACCTAGTTAATAATTAGGTATATTTATTTACTACGTAATATTTATCGGCAATACAATTGAAAATTCGAGAACCCTTGTCTAGCTCACGAAGTTATGGCGTCTTATTATATTCATGTAATAAATATGTGTTATATATTACTCGGCACTAAAGAAAACAATAACTGAATAACATAATAACATACTCAAACCCTATCCCTAGATGATGCTAAACAGCCGTACACAGCACAATTCACGACCATTATAAATAGTATTGTAAAATGATGTTATATATTAACGTACAAATTTCGTAATGAATTAATGAAAACTATATTCAAACATCAAAGCCGTCGCGTAAACGGCTCGCCGACAGCCTTGTTCTCGTTCAGTCAATGTAACCGTCAATGTGCGGAGCGTGGAGCGGTATCTAAAGCTAGGCAGGGGCGGAGAGTATCCGTTCTCGTTACTTATTTATTCTCCGGTTTAACTACGATAAAGACCGGGCGCGTTCCAAACCGTAGGAGCGGCAACTAAGCGTTTTTATATTAATTGGGCATGCGATGTACAGCACTCGCGGCGTCTATTTAGATTATATGTCTGTGGTATAATATTACGTACCGCTTTATGTAATAATTAGGAAGATCCTCGATGACTATGCTGTTGAGATGCTTTTCGAATATTTCTTCCCTTTCTTGGAGCGTGGGCAGATCGATCAGAATATGCCGATCGAAGCGACCCGGCCGCAGAAGCGCCTGAACAAACATTATCAACATCATTATCAAATAGTTTGCACGGAATACGCTGGATAAGGAAGTTTCAATCTTAGGGTCGTATTCCAGAACTCTACTCAATGCTCAAGTCAGGATTTGAGCAGACTTGAGTACGATTTCAAGCACTGGAAATACGACCCTAATGGCAAGGACTGGAGTATGATTTTCAGTTCTCACTGCAACACTCAAGCCCTGACTTGAGCATTGAGCAGAGTTATAGCATATGACCCTCAATACCCAGTGTACCAAGCCGCAGCAAACTTAACTTAAGACGGTTACCTATCCTCTCGGTTTTATACACACCTCAACAAGACTAGTTCGCCTCGAAGTAATTGTTGAACGCCTGCCGTTTATATTATGGCAATGCCGTTTAAATTATATTATGTCGGAAGAGGGTTTGATATTCAGGCACGTCTGGTGGCTGCTACACACAATAAGACCAATTCGAGTAACGGTTCTTGGCTGTAATACCCCTGGAATTAATTTCGTTCGCTTGGTACCCAATAGTCGAGGGAATTTTCATGTTTTAGACCAGGTAATAATAATGTTACTTTCGGGTATAAAAAGAAATCTTAAATACAAGGGCCAGGTTGAACAGATGCAATTGGGTTCACCCTTTTACCTTTAATATGAATACGTTGAGCAAGAATAATGTAAAGAAATCAAATAATATACAGATTAGGTGAGTTGTATGTTTTGGGTCACTTTCGGAAATACGAAGATAGCCGAACGAAATTATAGAACATTGAACTTCGATAGTTTTGGTTTTTAAAATTAAATAGCGAACATGTAGGGAAAGGTTGACCTTATACGTGTTCAACTTAATTGAGGTGTCCTTAGACGAAAGAGGTGCATCAACACTGTCTACAGCCTTTGTATACGCCAGTCGAAGACAAGCGTGATAGGATGTTTTTTAAACTCACCTTATCTAGAACGTCTGCTCGATTAGTAGAAGCCAAAACGATGACCCCTTCTCTACTCTTCATCCCGTCCATTTCCACCAGCAGTTGGTTCAGGGTTTGCTCCCCCTCACCGCCACCAGGGCCGAACGATGAAGAGCCGGTGGTTCTCGCCCGCCCCACTGCGTCCATCTCATCAATGTAGATAATGCAGGGGGCCCTAGATGCAGCTTCTTTGAACAGGTCCCTGAAGTATTAAAGAATTTTAAAGTTCGTTAGGTACGTTATCTTTTAACACTGATATTATATACACATAATCACGACTGTCTCCCCGGGGTAGGTAGAGACCATAAACATCTATCTGTTACGCTCTTGACAAACTTCCTCCAGTCTCTACATACATTCATTCTTGGTAGTTTTAACTCGTCCTTTTAAGAATTTCCCCAATCTGAACGAGATGTGTATGCTAAGCTAAATACCCTCGTCTCCATTGACACTGACATTAATTTTAGAAATTCAATTCCCAAGTTTTATAATAATACACCACACGTGTTACATAAAGGTGTATGGAAAGACGATATGAGTCTACATTTCACACAAGTTTATTTCCATAAAAAACTAACAAATATAATAAAAGTGTATTCCAAGGCGTTTAAGTTTATTTGAAAATATCAACCCCTAGAGTTTGTTGCTTGTCTGTTTCTATTTTTATTAAATTATAAGTGTGCTTTTGACCTCCATCTCACCTGACGGAAAGTGACGATGAGGTCGACAATGAAGCATGCACACCTAAATAATGCCTATTCACTCTCGAAAAGGTCCAAGTTGTAACGTTCTTTGTACGAGCAGTAGACTAAAAAATTACATTTTCAAGTGTAAATTTATCTTACATATGGAATAAATAATTATATGACTTTCACACAAAGGAAAACGCCGTGCTCGCCGAAGAAGGTTCACGACCCCTTAAGCGATGTGTGAAGTTCCCAGTGAGGCTGGCCTAAACCATCTCCTTAAAAAAGATCCATACCCATCAGTGAGATGTATAATCATGATGAACACTAACAGGGCTAAATATAGAAGGGAGGTCCCTTGTGTTATAATGTTCAAGCTAGTTAACCAACATCGGCCGGTTACAGGTTTACAATTGAGGCTACTAAACGAACTCCAAGAAAACGAGATCGACTGCATGGCATTAACTGCAGCCAGAAATCGCCGCGCGCCTAGCTTAGGAGGGCAGTGTAGAAGTTGACGTCGAGATGAAAGCACGGACGCCACGTCTGTTACTACTGTTACGTCACCGGCCTAATCGAAGCCAAAAACTACTACTTCAGAATGTCAATTACTACTTTTGAATATTGGACTATAGATCACATAGACGCTTTAAGTTGAAGTCTCAACTTCATGCAGTCGACGTCTCGGCTGTGTGAAGTTGATTACTACTTCACGCATTAACCACAAACATGCAGTCAATCTGTTAGTAGTTTGCTGTCTATAGTACTGGCACGCTATAATGGCCGTTCATTCATTATGTTTCATTAATTCATAAGTAATTTGAAGGAGCTAATTGCTGCACATTGTCGTCGAGAGTGAAGTGCATTTATGAATGTATAATTTTACAACTCGGCATTTGCTTTTCGAAATTCGAAGGTTCTAAAATTTAAATGTAACACGAAATATATTAAGTAAATATTTTTATTTTCGTTTTGTTAAAACTTTTCAATCAGCTACCCCTTGTTATAAATGTAAAAACTTATAGATGTGTCACGGGAACCTACCAGGCAACCCCGCTCCTCGCGGCCGCCATTCCGCCATTCAACGCGTTCCCTAAAGCACGTACAATTTATTGCATTCAAATACCTAATTGTAACGTTTTTTTCTATTTCACAATATAAGTTTTGTAAGCCTTAGTCTCGTCTACATTATTGAACCTTCATCAACAATGCGGCTCGCATTTGATTATATTTTTCTCGATAATGAAGAATGTCAAGTTATGGCCTCGGTATTGTAATCTGTCAAAACGGCCATCATAGCGTGCCGGTACTGTAACGAGATTCTTCTATAACAAGATTCCGGTTGATATACAAAATTTGCATTTCACGAGGTTTAAAACTATAGTGAAACAAAAACTTTATACTAAAGGTTATTATACAACTTCTGCGTACTTGGATGACAAAAATCCGTGGTAGTAACCCGTTTAGCTCATGGAGGTAGTCTCGATCTCTGATGTTTCAAATAAAAAAAAAAAATATTGTAAATGTTGAATGTTTACAAATGTTATTTACAAAGAGCAACCCCTAGAGTTTCTTGCTCATTCTTTTCAGGGGAATCTGCCTTACGAATGAGCGGTAGAGTTTAACTATTGTGACGATTTCAAGTGTAATAATGCTTACCTATGAAATAAAGATAATTTTGAATTTGAATTTGTAGTAATGATACGCACCTGACTCTCGCCGCGCCCAAGCCACCGATCATTTCAATAAACTCGGAGCCATTCATAGAGAGGAAAGGCACGTTGGCTTCCGTAGCCACTGCCTTCGCCAGAAGAGTCTTACCGCAACCAGGTGGGCCCAGTAAGAGCGCTCCCTTTGGTACCTGATCGAAACACAAACTTTGTGATTTGACAGAACTTGGAATTATTTTTTTATTGAAATTCAGAAGTGTAATCTCAGCGCTTCCCACTTTCCATAAATCAGAGCTCGCTTTGAATACATCAGGGGAAATTTTAAAGGGGGAATTTACGGAAAAGATGAGGAGTAATAGGTTAGCGGGGTATGGACATGTCATGCGGAGGGAAGAATGTCATGTGACGAGAAGAGTGCTAGGTACGAATGTGGAGGGATATAAGAGGAAAAGAAGGCCAAAGACAAGATGGATGGGTCGTGTGAAAGATGACATGGATTAGAAAGGTGTGAGTATAAAAATGACGGCTGAAAAATACATGTTGTGCCGATCCCACCTAGCGTGGGATAAGGACAAAATTAAGTCCTTTTTAGGATATATTTTTAGCAAGAGTCATTGTTAGATTAAATTGAGAAATGTCCTGCAATATGGCAAGTAAGGATTTTTCGAATAAAATTTTTAGGGAGACGGTTTTGGGAAGAACTTGCCCTTTATATTCTGTGAAGAAGAAAACGACGACGAAAATAAGAAAATGTTGGGTGAGTAGATAAATATTCGCACTGAAATTGTGGCAACTATTTATTACAAATACAACACGCTTGCTATGGGAACGTACTCTAATAATAAAATCACTGGTAGGGGGATGCTCCATCCCTTTTTATCGAAACGGTCACTAGCATGCTTATATCACTTTATTACGGTAAAACTGCAGTTTCTTTGTTTTTGGATAGCTAGTCATTTTGTAATATTTTTTAATGAATCACGTTATAGTACGTTGTGTTCTCAAGGTAATAATTAAACACAAAAAAGGTATTTATATTAATAACTTTTGTAACTATAATTCTAAATAGGGTTTGCATTATGTAATATTAGACATAATTGGTAGATGGCTCTACCGTTTCAGTCAGCCGTGACTGTGGGACCTTTAAAGAGCCCTACAATGTTTGATACAAATATACGCGATTTATGTCCGAGAAGAAAAAATATTTTATTTCCAATTGTGCTTTAACATTTCGCCATCCAAGAATAGATGTGTTATGTTTAGTATGATTTGCATTTTCAGTAGACTTGGCTTTTTTTTTTTAAATATTAAACAGTAGTTAGTTCATCTACTTCCCGATAGATGGCGTAAGTTGTACACACTGAAAACGCGCCTTTATGTTTTATCATAGCATGAATCGCTTAGCTACCTCATGTGAAACATTTAATTTTCTGGACAAATACTTTCGGTAGGCATAGCCTTTGACTTAAAAAGAAATAATTTGGTCTACCACCGTCTGTGCGTAGGCTTTTTTCAACCATTAGTTGTTACTACTAACAGCACGGTGTACTAAAATTGTAAATAATAATATAATAACGCACACACTCAATATAGCCCCGCACTAGGAAAAGCCTGTGTCGCGGGTGCCGTGGACATACACATAGACAACCACAAATTACACCCAAAACTCACGAGAGAAATAAATGAACGCCATACAAATATTCTCCCGGCCCGGGAATCGAACCTGAGACCTCTGCGTGGCAGGCATGGGGACGCAGTTATATATTTAGAGTTAAATATGCCACCATCAATGCATAACCACAAGCCATTGATGAAACACTTAAAAACTCCGATATTGAGTTCTTATTAGGAAATAATCATCATTGGTATTTGGATGATATTTATTAATAAACTCAAATTGACTTAAGATCTTTTTCACAAAATTCGGGGAGCGTAGTATTATTAGATAAATATAAATACAAAAGTAACAAACAACGCTCAAAGGTATCGACTTGAGATGGTTTTATTAATATGAGCCCAAATTATGCTTGGGTTCGCCTTTTTTATGCTCATTCGTAAGGCAGTTTTCGCAAGGCAGTAATTATTATAATATGGCAATAATGTCGCTTGGATTGCATTATTCACTTTCATCGTCATTAACACATCTCCCACTGCTGTATACGAGTCTCCTTTAAATAGAGGACTTAGGCCAAAATTCAATCTTCAATCAATGCCCTGTCTATGCCACATCTATGCACAGTCCCCCACATAAATCCACTGAAATTTGTGTGAAATAGTGTTATCCTTTCATATTATATAAAACTGGGCTTTGATCTACAAGTTCGACCAAAACTCCATAGGTATGCGATTTACGACTCCAAGTGGAGTCATGGACTGTGAACGTATTAAGATGTTTCTTGACGTAATTCGCAAATATTGCACTTTTTTAATGTTACTGCTCATTACAATAAGTAAATATAAATACAAATACGCACCTCAATAAATAAACGAAACGGTATTATCAACATTGTAATCGCAATTGCCATTGTTAATGTTAACTCCGGTACTGCAAAGATCTTAAGAGCTCTCATGCCAAAAAAGTTTTGACGCTGGCTCCGCCCAAATTTGTGAAACAAATATATGCCTGAAGTTCGCGTGACATGCGACAGGAGATGTTGAATTTTGCCCATTAAAAGTACCAAATTCGTTTTAGCGGAATAACTCTAAAACTAAAGGGATTTAAAAAATCCGTAGTGACAGTTCTCGATCATGCATAAATATAATTAATTATATAATGTTTGTACTAATAACCTGTAGCATTTCGAGGATGAATCGAAAAAATGTGAAAATTAGAGGTCATTTCGTGATTTTTATCTATCGAGGAAACTTTATTGTTTTATGTTTCTGATTAATGTCTATGCTTGAGTATATCGTGTAGTTACTCATACAATATTTTATTTTTAACTTTAAAGTGGATATACCCGTGTAAAATCAAATCGAAGATTAGGAATTTTTCCTCTGCTCCCTCTTAAAGTAAAAGTACGACTCATCCGTAGAACAAACACCTATGCGCAAGACAGCTTATTCTCAGGACATAGTACATTTCGTTCGCTGTTCTTAGCTGTGGACATCAGAGCGACTGTTGTTCGATTTTATATTTCCGAAACGAAATAAGACAAAAATCAAGAAAACATACAGCACTTACTAGACTAATTTACAAATTGATTGTATGAGCATATAAGAATTAAACCATCATAACCTATTCTAGGTACGAGATCTGTGTTAATAGTATATATTACAAAATTAAATGACCAATCTTTTGACTTCAGCTAAAACTAAAGTAGTGTAGTGTAGTGTAGTGCCGTGACGTGTGGGTAGGGAATGAAATGTACGATACGAATATGTGCATTTGAAGCATTGACTTACAAATAAATGGACGACGGGTCTAATACAAAAACCACGAAAAAAATGTCCCAAGTCAACCAATTTAAACGTAGTGACATGTAAAGGAATATGAAAAAGCTAAAACGTTGAATTTAAATTGTAATGTCATCGCAGTACTGTCTAATTTTGCTTGCTTCGCTGTCAGTCGAACAAACGAAGACTAGAGCGTGAATGACGCTCTGTATACGATTTTAACGCCCTATAAGTTCGGACACTTTTTAGCGCGGACCCGACGTCCATATAATTGTAAGTCAATGATTTGAAGTAATAAAAGAGTAAGCAGCATGTATTTGAGTGTGTGTGTGTTTGTGTAAGAGTGAAAAAATAACCGAGTAGAGTGCACTTAAAAGCATTGTATAGGTAGATAAATAATTTAGGTAAAGTAGTTTATTCATAATTAATTCAACTAGAAGTTCTTCCGTCTTCTCATAGGATAACTTCCGTAACCATTTTCTTACTTTATATCAAACTTCATGCTTGTTTAATGCGTATATGTGTACGGATTTATTAATTTTATTATATAATCTAGCACTCAGCGCTGTTAATATTGCGTTAGCAAAGGCAGTACGACATCGTTTAGTATCACAGGCAGGGGAACCTCGTCGTCTACTAAGAGCGATTGGGCCTAAGGGTAGATTTCAATGACGGTGCAAGACACATTTTAGTATAAATAACTGTTTCACCGTGAGCACCTGGGCCTCAGGGTATATCCTATCAGTGGAGTAAATTCAAATTCAAATTCAAAATAATCTTTACTTCATAGGTAAGCATTATTACACTTGAAATCGTCACAATATTAAACTCTACCGCTCATTCGTAAGGCAGATTCCCCTGAGAAGAATGAGCAAGAAACTCTAGGGGTTGCTCTTTGTAAATAACATTTACAATATTTTTTTATCATTTGAAACATCAGAGATCGAGACTACCTCCATGAGCTAAACGGGTTACTACCACGGATTTTTGTCATCCAAGTACGCAGAAGTTGTATAATAACCTTTAGTATAAAGTTTTTGTTTCACTGTAGTTTTAAATCTCGTGAAAGGCAAATTTTGTATATCAACGGGAATCTTGTTATAGAAGCGTATACATTGCCCCTTAAATGATTTTTTGACTTTGTGAAGACGACTATCAAGAAAAGCTAGTTTATTTCTATTCCTCGTATTAATGTTATGTCTGTCACTATTTTTCATAAATAAATTACTATTCCTTTTAACATAAATTACATTCTCATAAATGTACTGTGAGGCTAGTGTAAGAATGTTAATTTCCTTAAACTTATCTCTCAAAGATACTTTGGGGCCCAGATTGTAATTGCCCTAACTGCACGTTTCTGCAGGACAAAGATTCTGTTGATATCGGCGGCATTACCCCAAAGCAAAATGCCGTATGTCATTAGACTGTGAAGTAATCTCTTGATTTAAATAAGATGGTCTTCAACGCCGCCCTTTGAGCACGTTCAAGGATCAAAGGTTGTGTCATAACGAGAATACGAAGAATAATGAGATTATGTGTTTATCTTCTTTTCGCTTTATAATCACATCGGACTCTGTTCTTCGGATGAGTCGAGTAAGTCCTAACACATAAGCTCACGCCCTTTCCCCAGAGAAGGGGTAGGCAGAAATCACGGAACAGCGACATCACTCTATTCTGACATAACTTTTCAGTCCCACATACATCAACTACCCTTTTCATGCAACTTAAAGTAAGTCCTCATGTGTATAGGTGTAACAATGGCGAAAACCTAAGAACTCGATATCTTCATGTGTAATGGCATTATTTTTTAACCGACTTCAAAAAAAGGAGGAGGTTCTCAATTCGTCTGTATGTTTTTTTTTGTATATATGTTACGCGATAACTCCGCCCTTCGTGAACCGATTTTGATGATTCTTTTTTTTATTGGAAAGAGGGTACCTCAGAAGTGGTCCCATTTTTATCATCATCATCAATTTGTAGAAAATATACCTTTAAGGGTGGTAAATTAGGGGATGAATGACTTTTGAGGTCGGTTTTTTTAACCGGAGGTTAGGTTATTAAATGTACATTTAATTTAAAATCAAAATTACTCTATTAATGAAAGCCTAATAGGAAAGACGAGCAAAACACGCATTAGCTTAGTGCACCGAATTAAAAAAAATGTATGATCAGTATGTTCAATATTCGCACTGCATTATTATACGATTCGCTATGGCAATGTTACAAATATTTAAAAAAAATTCATTTCACGTTTTTGCATATCTATGTTGGTTCAGACATAAACACGTACCATAGCAATAGATGGCCATGCATAGTCCAAATCAGAATGTGGAAGATCAGAATACTTTAACGCAGTAGAGATTACGCATTCTAATAATGGATGTATATTGAAAATTAATCTATTTTATCGGGTGTATACATTTGTATATTCATGCAAATCAACGTTCCGAATTCTTTATAGGTCCCTTTGTCATGGCTGACTGATTTACAAAAAAAATGGCCTCATTTGCTGTGTGCAGCGATCGTAAAATTTTAAAAACCTAATATTAAAAACGTGAAATGCGCTATCGCTATTATTTTAGGGTTCAGAACAACTTGTCAATCTCTACTTTCGTTATTGCATAGTAAATATGTACCTTTGCCCCCAAAGTTTTGTATCGTTCCGGTCTCTTTAAATAATCGACAAATTCCATGATTTCGATCTTCGCCTCCCTCAAACCGGCTACGTCGTCAAACTTGACACCTTTACCCTGCCCGGCCATCGAGTCCACCAGGGTAAATTTGGCTCGACCCAGTTGATTCTGGAATACGAAACATTCACAATCGATTATTCTATTGCAGGCAATAAAAACAGCTCCAACATAACTAATATGAAATTGTTGTATTCACAGGCGCGTGTGTGCGTACGATGACTGTAGGAAAAGGAATATTTTTATATTCAATTTCATATTTGCTCATTGAAAACCAGCGCCACAGTCAATTGCGGCTGTGGCATAAGCTGAATGAAGTCCTTTTGCATACGCCACAACCGCACACATGACAGTACAACATTTGTAGTTGTTATATTTAGTATTTTTTGTTTTGCTCTTTGTTTGTTATTATCTTATTTCATTTTATTTTAATTTTGTTTATTACGTCTTTTTGTCTTGTTTTGCTTGTCTAAGTAGTATCAATATTTTTTTTGTATCTATGTGTTGTGGCGTTGCAATAAATGTCTATTCTATTCTATTCTATTATATTCTATTTGTACTTATGCCTATTTTTAAAGCTAAGAAATACATATATTGCGAAAGTTTTGTAAGCGACGCGAGTTAAGTTTAGTTAAGTGGTCAAATTTCTAAAAGTTGAAATTGCAGCCTGCGAACATTAAGATGTCTGAGGGGTAGACGGGGTTCGTGGGGAGCTAACGGCCTCGTCAGTCATATGATTTTGTTCCAAAATGTTAGTTCTTCATTTCCACCGAATACAAGTGGGTATAACGAGAAATAGTCGAACTATTTTATATTTACGTGATTATAACTAGTATAGATATTGCAGAAAACCGTCAAAATAAGTAAATACAAATAGTACACAACATCACATACGTTAGTAATTAATTAAGTAACTAAAACACTTAAGTTATGGAAATTGGAGACAATATAGAAAAGTTAGTAATTCTACATTGACACGGCCGGGGATCAAACATCTGAGATGGCGACGCAATGAAAACCGGTGTGCCTACCACTGGACCACGGCGACTGTCATATCAAAACATTTTCTATCCCGGTCACCTGGTTATCTTTCATACCGCTCTCTTACTGCACCATTCCGTTAATAATAATAATGTTAACACCACACATACAGCGCAGTATTAGTGGTCTAACAATGTGCAATAACAAATTTAATACTTACAAAACCACCCAGATTAATATTCATTCTCAAAGACTTGGAGGAGTAAAAGAAAGACAACAAAATGGCCGCTAGCAATAAGGTCGTAATTAATTTGCTAGCCACCCCACCATTCCTGTCATATATTACTCGTACACCTGAAACAAATTATCATGTCGTATATAAAATATGCCATCCAGTTGCTGTCGGTCTTTTTTGGAGTAAAATGACTGTTTATTGCTCAAGTGTTGCCCGTTTACATCGAGTATATAACCAGAAATAGAGACGAAATGTCATTTAATTTGTTTGAAAACTATTGTGCCAAATCATTACGGTGACAGCTGCGCTCAGATTGGCCGCCCGAATTAGAAACAATTGGCGGGTGTCGTCAATAGTTTCACTTCAAATCGACAAGTTTAACTTGAGCTTTGCTATAATGGACGAGAATTGAATAATTACATATTTAATTACCGATGAAATGTGTGTTTGTTTTGTAATTAGATGTTTTGCTGATTTTCCCACACCACCGAATAGAACAGCACGGCATTGTTAGAGATATTATCTTTATTACAATAAATACAGAATATTTTTGGGATATACGGAGACATACACACAAGTCAGTTGTTGGCGCTGTACTATTTCAGCTTTCTAATTTGTGATTTCAGCGCAAACGAGAGTTTATTTAAAAGTGATATTAGGCCCATTTACCTGATGAGTTGCCAGGGATGGATGTCCCTTATTTCGTCTCTATTTCTCGTTATATAGTACTCGACGCCCGCTTACAAGCAGCTAGTGATTGCAGTCGATAAATATTACATCGACTCTCGACTGGATGTTGGTTACGCAGGCAAAAAATAGCCGAATTCGTTTCATTTGAATGATCACCGGCCCATTATTCGACCCAACTGCTCGACACAGGTTCATTTGAATTGTCAATTTTTGAAAGTTCATACATACATACACTGCGTTTAGAACTATGTCTATTAAAAATACAAAGAGGAGATATATTTTAAAGTACACATATTCTTGTTAAAATGTATATGGTTAAAGTTTGATTTTGATACTAGTAAGCCAGCTGTCAAAATAAGAATGAAGAAGGACACAAATTAGAACCACGTAACATCGACAATCCAGACTTTTTGGAGAAATTTGGCCTTCTTTCACAATTTATCGATAAAACTGTCGATAACAACTACAAGTCAAAACTATTTAAAATTTTATGAATACTGGCAACACTATAAATGTCATTCTACTCCGTCTTTACAAAAGGCAGACTGTAGTAACAGCGTTTGTTTGAAGCTTATGCCGATGGGATTTTGAATAAACTTTTTTTTTAAATAATTTCTACAATATCGGAAATAAAATAACAAATATAAAAAAGTCTTAACGCATTATGCTCATTAACAATTACTAAAAATATTAAATCTTTATTGCAAGCAATATTTATGTAATATAAGTAATTTACTTAAAACATTACTTTTTGGTTGTACTTCAATGGAAGAAATTGATACTTAATTAATTTAATACATTTACAAGAAGTAGTGCATAGTCTCACCTTCCTTAACACCCAGAGACTTCTCTGTTGCCCTTAGTTTTTCTTCAAACCTGTGAACGTCTCCCACATTCATGTGGTACACTCTGTGAGGCGCCTGAAAATATTTTATAACATTGTGTTTAATACATAGTTTAACCCTGCAATACATGTGTTAACAAACAGCTCCTAAGTTCCGCTATGACGCTACTCAGATCACGAGATGGATCAAGCTGTTCTTAATTAACGATCATCGACATCATAGATGATACCATCTCAAGTGACAAGATCCTGCACTTGGACACAAGGACTGGGAGACGTTTATTAATACATGAAAATGGTAGCAACTGTCAAATAATGAGTAACCGTCCATGTGCACTAAAGTGATATTTATACTGCACACATTTTAAGGTGTAGTACAAAAAGAAGGCTGTCAAAAAAGAATGTTATTGTGACTAAATTAAGTACTATCCAACGTCAAACTGAGGGAGAGTAGAGACAGAATTTCTGCCATTCTGCCTTATAAAATGCTACTCTAATAGTCTATAATAATAATAATAATAATAATAACGCACACACTCAACATAGCCCCGCACTAGGGAAACCCTGTGTCGCGGGTGCCATGGACACACATATAGACAACCACAAATTACACCCAAACTCACGAGAGAAATAATTGTAGGCCATACAAATATTTCTCCCGGCCCGGGAATCGAACCTGGGACCTCTGCGTGGCAGTCCGGCATGGTAACCGTTCGGCCACGGAGGCAGTCTCACACAATATAGATTTTTTTTACATTTTGTTTTATTTATTATCTAGTAAACCTTACATCATCGCATAGCAGTGTGTTGTTATATTTAAAAAATCCAGTACACGATTCGTACTATCTTAGATTCATCAAAGAGAGAGAGAGAGAGAGAGACAGATTTATCAGAAATAGAGGCTGTGATCCACACTCTGGATCTTACTTGGTGCAACAAATTTCGTTGGCTATTCAGCGCGGTAATGCTGCCTGTGGTATGGGGACGTTTGAACCGGCTAAGATTCAGAGTGGTCCTTTTTCATTGTAATAGTTGGATAAAAATGGCTATTAATGGCACTATTAATTTTTATGTGATGAAGTCTGGTTGTTGATTTATATTTGTGTCTTCCGGACGAAGCCTACGTTGCGGTCAATCCGCAAAGTAGGCACAGCATATTTAAAGTCAACAAATTATTTGTTACTTTAAAAAAAAAAAGAAATAATCCAACAAATTAAATACCTAATTTAATAATAACATTGTCGAAATAATGATTTATGCATGTATGTAAAATATTATTTATAGTTTACCTAATAATCTAATAATTATAATATAATTACAAAAAATACAAATAGTACGCATTATCTAACAAAAGGCCTTTCCGTCGACGATCAAATGTTTATAATTAGGCTTATTTTTCGGGCAGACGTACGCTTCAACACCATCAATGCTATGATGCATCATTATCATTAATTAATTTATTTAATACTGTTGACCTTGGTTCCGATGTCATCACAATAGACGAACTTACCATAAAATTATAATATCACGAAATTTTTGCACCAACATTAAAGGCTACAAGTGATTTTTGGAACTCAAAATAGTGGCATTAACTTTTGTTTGACTTTAAAATTAACATTATAGCATAGAAATTTAAGCCTTCACCCGATATATGTTGTGCGCACATTTAGTAATAAAATTATTTTGTCTAAGTATTTTTATGGCAATTATTATATTTATTGTAAATACAATGTAGTCATAGGACATCTATGTTGTCATACCTTCTTTCCCTTGATGATAGCTCCCTCATGCAAAACAATAGTGACTACTTCTAAATCTGGCCGGACTATCAACTCCTCCACTTCACCTTTAGACAGCATACTGTACATGAATTCATTCCATGACACATAGCGGACAAGCTGGAATTTATCGACAATAACGTTAAGTTACTTATGATACTTAAATTGACACTCCGAGAATGTTATGTTCGGACAATATTTTTTTAATCTTCAATGTGCACTCTATTAAAGGACCTGTTTTTGTCCATGCCTTAGCTATTGCTTCTTGAACAGGTGTGATTCCAAAGTCACTAATAATTATCAAACACCTGCCTGGATGGATTTGACAAATATTGTTGGTTGGTATACATCTGAAGTTCTTCACCGTGCGAATATCATCATGGCTTACCTCGTTGTGTGTATTATCGTTTGGTACTAAAAGTGAGCTCAACATTATCAATAATGTTGTTAACAACATCCAAAACGCAGCTTTCACAAATAACGATCCCATGTTCTCATCTTCTTTCTTCTTTTTGTCTTTATCTCGATCCTGCAAAAACGGTACAGATAGTCCTTTATACTTAAAATGGTTTTGTTTACTGTGTGCATAAAAACAAATTAAAGTAATCTACATTTTCTTGCCCTTCTTTATATTGCACTGATGTAGTGTGCAATCCACGGCAGGGGCCTCCATTGAGCCCACTGTAGAAATTTGGAAGATTTGACCGTTGTAGCAGTAAGCAAACTGCTTTGTACTCCTCATTGAAGTGACGTAAGTACTGTAATAAAAACATACAAATAATATATGGGGGTGCCAACATCAGCATAAAAAAACAATTGGAACAACAAACAGATGGGGCTGATTGATGATGCCACTGCTGGCCCCAACGTAAACAGAAATGGTTTAACTTTTGGACTGATAATGTCTAGAGCCTAAATAGGTAGTAAGGATTCTGAAAGTGACAAAATATTTGATATTTTTATAGGGTATTTAATATGATTTTTAAAAATGGAAATAAATTAATTAAATCATCATCAGAAAGGCTACCACGCAGGGCGCTACTTGAATCGCTCAAGTCTTATATAACCTAAAGTGCGTGCTACTGCTATTTTCGCATAAAGATTTTATTAACATGGATTTCTTTACAATAACATATAATTTACTTAACCCTTTCATGGACAGTAACGGCATTAACTGTAAAATGAAAAATTCGAATATGGACAATATGAGGTATCCCGTTTCGATATATGGATCTTATAAAAACTACTACAGGCTTTACCGTGCGTATTCTAAGTACTTTCTTTGTAGCTGCCGCCTACTGCTTCTCCATAGAGAAGTATCAACAATGTACTGACAAAATTGAATGATTTATTTGAGATACATTCGAGGATGTTACACACACATATTTAATATGTGCACACCAAGACAGTATGGTGAATACCGACGTGTTTGTATGAGGTGATGTAAGACAGCACATGTCAGTGCGTCGCCAGCGACTGTCTTTTGTGATTGTGTAGTTGGTTTTCGCGCTGGAACTTTCTGACAATAAAAAATCCCTCAATTTTTTTCTCTAAATGCATAGTTTTTTAGTAACTCAATAAACTAATAATGTGTACTGCAGAAATCCTATTCTATAATAAATAATAATGATATGTGTTTTCACACTTAAAATCAGATTACTTAGGTAGTTATTTTCTGCCAACTAGGTGAAATGAATTACTTAATTTTCATTTAAATTTGATGAATAACCAAACAACACATACCGTGTGCTACTAGTATCAAAATCACCTCTCTTACTACTTTCAAATGGTAAATAAATAACTTTCATCGCTGCTTAAATATAATCTAATTAGTAATTGTCTCTTTTGGAATTGTTAGTACATAATAAATTTCATTTGTTCTTATACTGCAAGGGTTACGTTATTTTACGGTGTACTTTATTTTAATGTATATACATTTTTTTTGCTGAATAAAATCACCGCACCACTGTCATGGCCGTACTTACTTATAGAATTATTTCGGACCATGATCCATAATAATGTTAGTAATACAGAAAATTTTTCTTACGTGCTATGGTTAGTACAATACAATATAATTAAATACATAAAAGTATTAATAAGTATCTATATCACCATTATAACCACCAACCAATTCCACATCACACTTTTGGGCATGGGTTTCCTCTAACAAGAGTGTTTTGGCCGTAATCTCCATGTTGGTTGGCAGAAATGCGGTCTAAGGACTGGATAATGTGCTTCCAAGGTTTCTGAATTTTTTGATATTTCACCTTGACGTTTCTTTTATCATTAGTGTGAGGTATTACAGCTAAATATTCAGAAGGGTCATGCTGTCACAGGTATTTGAATATTTGAGATTTATTTATTAGTTTACACAACTTACACTTACAGTACTTCCAACTAAACATGTATGTGTATATATATATAAAGGTTGAGTCCATCAACAGCAAAAAGTTGAGCCACAGAGCTTTGGGCGGAAACAGTCTCCAAATAGTAGTTAGGGGATATTAGAAATTTTGATTCACTTTTACTGAACACAACAATATCATTTGTACTATTTAGGGTTTCGATCAAGGCTAGGGCTTTATAGAATGGTGACCAAAAAGTAACCATGTTCCCTGTAGCTACCACCACTTCTACACCAACACAAGATTAAATTTTAAGAACCCTTATAATTTTGTTGGAAATTCTAATGCAGAGTCGTCCACGATAGTCTTGTTTTCTATATTACGTAATTTATGGATGTGGAACTAAATGGTTTAAATGGTTTTAGTTAGCCATGTGCACTAAATATATTCACAGAAACTTAGAAGTAAATAAAAAGATAAAGTATTGCGTTTTGTCTAACAATTGTAAAGCACAATTCTGGGGTATATACAAAATGAACTGAATGATGCTCCGACATATTATCGCAGTACATTACATATTTTACTTATAGCGTTGGTAGTAACCACGAATTAACCACAAAAAAGAATTTCACAATCTGGAGAGGCTGCCAAAGATTTGGAAAAAGTACTTACCGGGTTTTTTGATTTACTTGTAACGTGGTGCAAAGTCGTAACAGATTTACACAAACCTACTAAACTAGAGTAATAATGTTTATTTATCTGATTTTTTGTTACTGTGCTTCGTAAGTCGGGGTACACTTTTGATATAAATTTCGACGTAGTTAACGTTCGGAGTCTTTTTATTGACAACATTTTGGATTATAGTGACACTCCCTCGCTAGTACTTCCTGTAATTACATTAAATTAAATAATTTCTTATTTAGGTCCTAGGGCCATAACCTCAAAAAAACCTACATGACATTTATGTTTTTTGCGTTTGTTCGCTAACGTTCGGCTCGGCGGCGAGGACACAAACCACGATGACAGATTTCTTTTTTAATTTAGAGTTAGGTCCTTTTATTTCAACAAGAGTTAGATACTTTTACTGGATCACTCATTTGTATGGATTCATTCATTTTATGACTAAACTTTGTTGAGCAATGAAAAATACGAACGTATGTAAAAAAAAAATATTGTTGCAATAATCGGTATGGATGGTACGCAATTACTTATATTTTTAGGAAATTTTCGCATGACTTCATTGTTCTCAATTCGTTCCATAGATGGCAAGATGGTTTGATCATGGATTGATCTAATGGTTTTTTAAGCAGCTGAGGCGGCGGCGACGGCGGCGAGGGACCAGCTTACAACATTATTTAACAACCTTTATATTAATTTTAACCTGGTATAAGCAGAAGCTACGAAGTTCCAAGGCGTAAGGAACGTAATTGATTTTTCATCACACTGGCTCGTAATTATATGATTGATTAAATTAATATGATGATTGCATGGTGGCTAACTTGGCTATAATGCCACAAAAAAACCCTCGGGCCTTTTTTCTTTCCATTACAGCCATTGTCGGTAAGGAATTCCTTTTTTATTTATAGCACGACTTATTTCCATAGATACAGGTTCAAGTTCAAGCAAGGAGGTTATATAAGTTCAAAATTAAATCATTTGCTTAAAATATTATCTAAACAAAAATTTAATTGCAATTGAGCAACTTAAATACAGAACTTCTTGTTAATTATTTTTCGTATAAAAATTTAGCAATTTATATTTCAGTCTGGTTCGCCTAAATAGCATTTTGATTTTACCTCACAAAATTTGGACGCTTTCATATTTGAATCGCATTTAAAATGGTTTGATTGGATCAATAATTGCTTCCTTGTTACGGAACAAAAAACTACCGCACGTACATGTTCCAATCATCCATTTATTTCTTATATATAGTCCACAAATTGAAGGAAGGCATCGTTTTTCATTCCCCGAATGGTCCAAAGTGCGCATGTTTCCTTATATTGCAAAGTACTTTGTGGCTGTATGCGTGTTTGCTTTTTACCACAGGCTGTATAAATACATTTTATTTCGAGATGTATTCTTTATATTATCTATGGAAGAATAAAAAAATAAATAAAAATCCCGCCATTTCATGTTGTGTTGCGCCAACCGACAAGTGGATTATGTATTGGGAAAAAGGCGAGAAACTTTCGAGGTGGGACATTGACTTTTGTAAGTCAATGAGGTGGGAGGTTCAATTTTATTACTTGCGAGTTTTAAAATACCTTTTTTAAATACATTTCTCTCTTAATTTATAGTCAGTTTGTACTAGAAAAGGCGTTATGGGTTCGGACAGTGGAGGTTCTGCCAAAAGCCCGTAATAAGAAAAGCAGCCGGGCCTTTACTAGATTTTTCTGAAGAAGATGCCAAGTATGCTCCATACTTTAAGAAGGAGCGTGCCAAAAAAGTTTTCACGTTGGCTCCGCCCAAATTTGTGAAACAAATATATGCCTGAAGTTCGCGGGACATGCGACAGGAGATGTTGAATTTTGCGCATTAAAAGTACCAAATTCGTTTTAGCGGAATAATTTTTAATCCCTTTAGTTTTAGAACTAAAGGGATTAAAAAAAATCCCTAGTGACAGTTGTCGATCATGCATAAATATAATTAATTACATTGACTTATAATTATATGGACGTCGGGTCTGCGCTAAAAAGTGTCCGCACTTGTAAGGCGCTAAAATCGTATACAGAGCGCCAAACTCCGCTTTAGTCTTCATTTGTTCGACAGACAGCGCGATACTGCGATGACATTACAATTTAAATTTCGAATAGGTTGACTTGGGACATTTTTTTCGTGGTTTTTGTATTAGACCCGTCGTCCATTTATTTTTAAGTCAATGATTAATTATCTAATTTTTGTCCTAATAACCTTTAGCATTTCGAGGATGAATCGAAAAAATGTGAAAATTAGAGGTCATGTCGTGATTTTTATCTATCGAGGAAACTTTATTGTTTTATGTTTTTGATTAATGTCTATGCTTGAATATATCGTGTAGTTACTCATACAATATTTTATTTTTAACTTTAAAATGAATATACCCCTCTAAAATCAAATCGAAGATTAGGATTTTTCCTCTGCTCTCTCTTAAGAAAAACCACATTCGAAGTTACCCTGACAGTTCTCCAGGCACGGTATTCCCAGTTTAAATTCAAAGCACTAATGACACAGTTAAATTTGGGAATAAAGACCCAGTTTATTTGAATAATATTTTCAATTGGTACAATAAAGGTGTCAAAGAAATAAAACGAGTCAATGCTTTGCGGTATTTTTGTAAGCTGTAATTTTTGATAATGCTAGGAATGCTAACTCTCTCATGTCGAATTCTTCATATTTATCATCATACGAAATAAAAGCAATCATTCCAGCTTCTACTTCCGAATGCATTGGAGTTATCAAGTACACGCCAACAGACCTCATTTGCAAACACCTATTTGACAAACTTATTAGTCCGCAGGAAATACTGGCAGTTCGTCGATTTACTAAACGGAGTCCTGAAGGCATTATTTCCGCTGCGGACTGTCCGTGACATTTTCAGGTAATGTACTGCCCGAGCATGTAAACTATGGTCTATGCATAGTACCTGTTGAAGAATATATAAAACCTATGGTACAATGTTATGAACGCATGGCTTTTGGTCATACAACTAAGTTTTGCACACGAAATATTGTATGTTCAATATGTTCAGAGTCTCACTCATACAAAGAATGCACTAATATTGACAAACCTCTTTGTATTAATTGTAAAGGTGAACACATTGCTGTGGCAAGGATCTGTCCAGTCAAACAACAAAAAAATTATGAAAATAGAAGTAAAATAATGAATAGAAGTACTCTGGGTTCTTTTTTCCCTGCACTGAATAAATCCTATGCCAAACCACTTCACGTCCTACACCCGTACAGGCAATAACATCTGAAAGAACCAAAGACAGGACTTTGTTAACTGATGTGTTAAACAATGATAAGATACTCAATGCTTGATATTTTAATAATAATTCTGTAATAAAGAAAACACCTTACCTATCAATTCTTCAAAAATAAAAGAAATATTTATTTAAAAAGTTTCTCAAAACGGTTAGTAAGTCATTAGTAGTTATACAGCACAGTATCCAATGTCTTATGGTCGTATTCTAGAACTCTACTCAATGCTCAAGTCAGGATTTGAGTATGGTTTAAAGCACTCGAAATCATACTCAAGTCCCTGCCATTAGGGTCGTAATTCCAGTGCTTGTGTTTCAATTGCAATCCTGACTTGAGCATTGAGTAGAGTTCTAGAATACGACCCATAAACCTAAATCTACTCTTGTTTCTCAGCTATTAAATTCACTTAATGTTGATATTTGTGTCCTTAATGAAACTTGGTTAAAACAAACAGACTCGGTAAGAATCAAAGGTTATAATTTTTTTCGAAAAGACCGTGACACCGACAATGGTTATGGTGGTGTTGCCATTCTATGTAGAGATAGTTTTTTATGTTCTCAAGTTTTCACTCAGAGCAATGATAAAATTCAAACCATAGCCATAAATATTAATATTTCTAATAATAATTCATTAACAATTCTTGGTGTGTATTGTCCTCGTAGTGGTCGCTTCCCTATCAACAATTTGAAGAATGTAATCAACTCCAATATTAGTGATGGGTGATTTTAACGCCCATCATAAAGCATGTGGGTGCACTACTGGGTTAGATGAGCTTAATATGTACTTATTGAATGACGGTCAAACAACAATGCTTTCTCGTCCTAGTCAATCGGCATCGGCTATAGATATTTTCTTTTATTGTTCTCCTTCTCTAGCGGCGTCTGCAGAATGGTCTATTTACTCTGAGGATATATTGGGTAGTTACCACTTTCCTATAATAGTATAATTAAATGTTGATCATAATACTTATGAAAATATTATTCTTCTTCTTCTATAGCTTGGGTAGGTTATACGACTAAATCTAGTACCATTTTTAATGATCTGCAGTATGAACAAGATCCTATTCAAGCTTATAATAAATTCTGTTCTTTATTAAATAGCTTAAGAGAAAAGTATATTCCTGTAACTTCATAAACCTGTACCGTGGTGGAATGAAGGTTGCTCTAACGCAGTTAAAGAAACTAAATTAGCTCTACATATGTATAGAAGGTTTCCATCAATAGAAAATTACTTGTTGTATAAAAAATAGAAGCTATTAAAAAACTTATAATTAAGCAAGAAAAGATCTCCAATTGGAAAAATTTATGTTCCACATTTGACAGAAACACTCCAGTCAGTAGAATTTGGAAATTTGTGAAGATTTTTAATCGTAAATAAACATCTTTTAAATCTAGGGACGATACATTTTTACAAGATTTCTTGCAGAAAATCGCTCCTGGTCAGCCACCTGTCGACATAGATCATCTTAGAAACTTTTTTGAATATAATGAACTCAATACGCATCTCATCTTACCTTTTTCTAAATCCGAATTAAACTTACCTTTGAACAGTAAAAAAGATACTTCCCCAGGATTAGATGACATTCCATGCATTTTAATAAAACGTCTTGATTCGACAGCTAAGTTAATTTTATTAAACATCTTTAATGATCTATGAGTAAAAGGTTTAATACGTGATTCTTGCAAATGTATAGCAATAGTTCCCATTTTAAAACCAGAACAAGACCACAAATTTGCAGATTCCTATCGACCGATTTCCTTGTCCTTTTTGTGTAAGTAAAATTTTTGAAAATATGTTAAATACAAGATCGGAGCTTTACGTAGAATCTAAGCTAATTATTCCCCATGACCAATTTGGGTTTCATAAGGGCTGTAGTACAATAGACAGTGTTTTAAAGTTTTGTGGTGATATACAAGAATCATTCTACAATGATGATGGCTATCTAATTAGTGCTTTTCTTGACGTAAGCGTTGCTTTCGATAACGTTGATTTGTCGATTTTAGTCCAAATACTACATAGTTTTAATATACCCGGCAGAGTTTGAAGTTG